CCCCCCCCCCCCCCACACACACACACTTTGAAACAGAAGCTATAGGGTTGGAAAGATTATGCAGTAGCTTTGAAAAAAGAAGTGTGTCGACACACTGTATACAGTGTTTAAATTCTCAACAATCCCAGGTGGATCACACAAAGTACATCTGTGCTGAGGTGGAGAGAGTATTTTGACCAACATTTACTACAGCTATCAGGGAATGAGAAGTTCTCAGTGGACCTAGAATATGTACGTTTAATAAAATTCCTGTGGGATTGGCTGCTGGATCCTGTTCCTGCATGCTGTTCCCCACCTGCCTACCTGTGGCCCAATCCCTTATGTCTGGCTGAGTTGCATCCTGCCTGCAGGGGTCCTGGGCCAGTCTCCATGGAGTTCCCACCTGCCTGCTCTATCTGGTGCCCCTGCTGATGGGTGTGGGGTGGGCAGGCCCCAGACCAGATAGGATCAATTGGCATCTTCCCCCCACCCCCAGGTTGTGTAAACAGCCATGATTGGGGCACATCTGCTTCAAGCAAGATGCCATGCCATCTTTCCCAAGCAAGGGCCACACTGACAATCTGGAAAAAGCCAAGAGGTATTGCGTTCTTTGGAAAAGGAGAGCCAGAGGAGCAGTTACTCTGCCTAGTTTTTAAAACTGGTATGGTTCACTGAGACTGCAAATCTACACATGTAAAGGAAAAGCTCTGTGCAAAGGGAGAAAAAGAACCAATACAATACATTTCCTGTTGCGACAGCCCCGTGGTATTAAAGAGGAGGGAAGCTGCTGGTCACATTCCAGTTCATATTACAGTTATTGTTTTTGGCCTTACACATCGGTAGTATTTTTAAACAAGACCAGAAGTAGATTCTAAATGAATGGCTCAAGTTTCTTCACATCTTTAAAGATTTCCAAGGCAAATGAGAGCTGCATGCTTGAAGTTCTGTTTAAGCATTAGCCAATTCAGTGTTACCGACTGGTTCAGTGTCAGTTGGTTTGTCCAGAAACAGTAAAGCCTGTAATTCTTTGGACAGTTAACCTACTACTCACTGGGACCAGTCCATCCTCCTTTAATAAAGGGACTTTTACAACCAAGAAAGGAACTACTGTAGTGCAAGTCTGAACACAAGACCCTCCTATGAGACTGACCATTCCCACAAGAATTATACCGTGCCAGAACAAGAGTTTAATATACTTTTCTTGGCAGATCCAAGCATTCAGTGGAAAGCTTGGGTGATAAAAGTAGCAAGCTTTTGCAAGCTCTTACTTAGATGGCAGTACCTAATAATAGTCCAAAACAGTTGTTCAGCAGGAATTTGCAGAAGAGGCCTAGTACCCCAACCACTGAAAAGTACCACTGACAGTAATTTTGGAGCGTTATGTCACTGCACATGACTTATACGGGTACCTCTTCTCTAGATCTAGAAAGTTTCTCCTGTGTGCAGGAGGTACAAGAGACTGATCCTATCTCATAACACAGCTGGTTCCAGAAATTATTTAATCCAGATAACTGACTTGTACCTTGCTGCATCTCAAATGCCTTTTGACCGTAAGTAAACACTGTAAGTCCTTTACAACCAAAATTAAAGCACTTTCTCCTGGCAAGTCCAGACTAGACTAGAGGAAAGCTGTGGAAGGTGGAAGAAATGCAGATCATTCTGTGGACAACGGAAATAGATCTAAAAAATGCACATCTTAACTGTGACTACAGTTCATATCTAGCAGTACACAGCTGTGGAAATTCCATAATCAGTTTTTCTCCTGTTCCCCCTCTTCCCCTTTTGATGGAAAATAAATCCCTCACATTTTGTAAAGGTTTTATTGAAGAGTATGTCTGAGTTTATTGACTAGAATAGTTTGTGCTGCAGGGAAAGGTAGGAGTTATTTTGTATTGCCAGTCCAAATTCTCAAAGAAGTTTGATTTTAATTCATTTCCCTTGCCTCTGCCACCGTGCAGCCAGAACAGTCTGAGTAACGATAAATTCCTTGCTGGACTAGTCTATAGTCTTCTCTTCTAAGGAGTAAGAGATTTCTGCAATACACTTGAAGTAACTATATAATAAAGGCATCAGTGTTCAGGGTTAGGATTGAAGACCAATTTTCTACAAGATTTAAACACTTTGTAAAACCTCAGATCTCATTACGATTGTTGTGTAGTGTAATGCTTTGAGAAGGCGAGGATTTTTTTAATGCACTGTTTGTGTTCTGGGTTACGTACGAGTAAGATTTAAATAAAACTTAATGGAATCAATTTGTATTAAGATTTTATTAAAAAAAAAATCTGGTCTGAATTTTGGCTTTGGCAGGATGAAGAGGGTATTTAAAAGCACTTTTTTTTCACAAAAAAAAATCATACTGTAGTAGGAAAGAGTGGCATGCACACACAAAGGAGGAGAAAATACTCTGAATTCAATGTGAAGATGTATTGAAAAACTGGAAGAGTTACTCTGATCTTGGAACCCCTGGCTAACTGTACACACACACACACTGCAACTGTCAGAATATTTTTTTTAAGCGTACACTGAACATGTTGCAGAGTTGTTGGCTGTAGCTGTGTTGGGCTAAGGACATAGACAGATACGTTTCTTTGGACAGATGTGATATCTTTTATTAGACCAACTAAATAGTTGGAAAAAAGTTCTTTGCAAGCTTTTGAGCACAAACACCCTTCTTGAGGCAGAGGGAGACTGCTGTTTGTGCCCGAAAGCTTGCAAAGAACTTTTTTCCAACTACTCAGTTGGTCTAATAAAATATACCACATCTACCCAAAGAACCTTGTCTGCTGAAAACATTAAACTTTACATAGAAGTCAAAAGAAACCCTGGGCAAGTTATCATGCTCTCACCTCCGAAATACACATTTCTTTTTACAAACTTTCCACCTCTTTACCACTCCCTGTCCAAACTTAACAGCAAAGGAGGGACAGGACCCTGCAATTACCTACATACCCCTACCTCATTGTACATTATCTACCCTGTACTAGGAGGGCAAATATTGCTGTGCAACTTCAGTACTTCTATTGCCTGTATAGTTACTTTGGGTTTATATTTGGACTGGCAAACATCCTGCACTCGTGTCTCACTTTACTGTGCACAATCTAAACTGCATACAGGCTGAGGCGGCAAGCAACCTCTATCATGTATGACCCATCAGCAAGATTTTGGCACCGCAGGCAGATCAACCCAGCTCTGGTCTCATGTGGGCTGGTGTTTATGACCCAGACCACCCGCTACCACCAGTGCTCCCTGCCTGGCCACAACATAGACAACCATGCCCTCCTCCCCCACCCCCGCTCGGTTACATCACTGTATGTGCAAAGCCCCCATGCTGCCCAGTTGAGGAGTGGTGCATACATACTATCCCCTGTAAACGAGGCAGAGTGCATGGAACTACCCTGGTGCGCCATGGGGCACATACAGCCCCCTGGTCTGTGGGCCGGATGCCATCACTCCATATATATTGCTGACCCCTGGTGTAGGGTCTTCAAATACCATACTGTGGTACGCTCAAGGGATGCTCAAGCTATGTGCAAGTACCCTCAACTTTATTTCCTGATTCTTGAACACTTCTATTCTGTAAACCCTGTGTCATCTTTCTACAGGTTCCAAAGAATACTTTGGCTGTTCACCTCCAAACATGCCAATGCTCTTTCCTAGCAATTTTTTTGCTCTGCCCAAGCAATATCAATGGTGTTGGGCTCCCACAAGTTCATGCATAGAAATCAGTAATAGCAGCATGCACTTTTGCAAAGATCATGCAGGAACCATATGACAGCCTCTAGCCCTTGTTTTGTGGCCAGCAGCTAGTTTAAAAACAAACAAACAAACAAACAACCCATTCAATCAGCCATCTTGTGACATTTGTTGCCCACTAAGTCAACAGTGCTGCATGGCACAATAAACAACGGCAAAAAAATTGTCATTTTTAGAGAACAAGACTTCAGTTACAGCTCAACTTTCATTTCTTTATTTGTTTGTTTTTGCTCAAGTTCAGGGGGCGGTGCATACGCCTTCAGGAAGCCTTAAATGCTCATACTAAATACTCTATACTAATGCTCGTAGGAACTTGCCCTCCTGCTAGCTAACACAAACCCAGACATAGTGGGGCTCATCGAGACATGGTGGGATCCAACACACGACTGGGCAGTGAACATCAAGGGCTATAGGCTGTACAGGAGGGACAGAACAGGGAGGAAAGGCAGGGGTGTGGCGCTCTATGTCAAAGAACAATGCACATCCTCAATGGGTCAGAGGAGGGGGCAGACTGAAGTGCTCTGGGTCAGAATACAAGGGAGTCAGGGGGAAAGGGACTTAACA